GTGCATCACCATGGTATTGATAAACTGGTGTGAATTGCACACATGCTTATGACTCACTGTTTTTCACACAAAAATATTTTAGAACAAAGTTTAAAAAAAGTCACTTAAAGAGAAAGTCAAATGGTGCTATGTTGTTTATGCTGAAACACAGCATGTCTCATCTCAGCCTTTCACTCCTCCAAATTCTGTTCCCCAGAGATAGCTTCTTGAAATTATTTTCACAGGTTTTTATCCTTGTATTTAACTCTGTATCTGTGAGTAGCACACTCATACTATGATTTTTTGTTTTCTATCTTACTAAGGAAGAATTCAACATGTACTTTGTTTCCTTCATATTCTCCTAATTTGATTATAGGTAAAGTCATTAAACAAGTAATAATGGAAGTATGACTGAAACATTCACAGAGAACTGTGTGTAGTACACTACAATTATATTGCTGATATACTTTGTTTCTCTTAATAGATGAATTGATTTTTCTTTACTAATTTTTCTTTACTCCTTTTCTTTTCTTCTTTCTCTCTCTGCCCTTCCTTCCTTCCTCCCTTCCTTCCTTCCTTCCTTCCTTCCTTCCTTCCTTCCTTCCTTCCTTCCTTCCTTCCTTCCTTCCTTCTTTCCTTCCTCCCTCTGTCCCTCTGTCCCTCCCTCCGTTCCTTCCTCTCTCTTCCCTCCCTCCCTCCCTCCTTTCCTTCCTTCCTTTCTTCAAGATTCACTCATTCATTAGAAAGGCAGACTTACAGAGAAAAGGAGATATAGAAAGACCTGCCATCCACTGGTTCACTCCCCAGGTGGCCACAGCAGCTGGAACTGAACCAATCTGAAGCCAGGAGCTTCTTCTGGTTCTCCCATGTGGGAGCATGGTCCCAAGGCTTTGAGTCACCCTCAACTGCTTTCCCAGGCAACAAGCACGGAGCTGGAAGGGAAGTGGAGCAGATGGGACATGAACTGGTGCCCATATGGGATCCTAGCATGTGCAAGGCAATTACTTAGTCACTAATCCATCACCCCAGACTGTGAAGAACTTCTAAAATTTATTTGCTTATAATTTATTTGTTGCAAAGGCAGAGAGACAGAGGGACAGACAGATCTTTCCTCTGAGAGCTCAGTAATCAAACGTTCACAGCACACAGGGCCAAGTCTGGACAAGGCTGGGAATCAGGAACTTAATCTGTGTCTCCCACGTGGATGGCAGGGATCCAACTACCTGACTTATCACTTGATGCCTCCCAGGATGCGTGTTACCAGGCAGCTGGAATCAGAAGCAAAGCCAGGATGTGAACCCACACGGTCTAGTTTATGATATTCGTGTCCTCAATGTGTCATGCCAACATCTTTCCTTTCTCATTGATTTTTTTTTACTGTTTTCCATTCCTTTTACTTCCAGAGCCTCTATTTTTATTTCATCTATTATATTTTCAGTATTCATGAGCTCTTCTTAATTTTTAAGTATCCTTATGCATTTTTCTTGAAGCTTCTTTTGTATATGGTATTTTTTGGATTTTTGCTACATTAGTGACCTTCACTATAGGGAAGTGGGGAGAGTCCCAGACATTCCATGTAATGTTTTAGAATGAGATTTTGTTGAACGTAAGAGGAACACCCAAAATAACAGATGCTTCATGAAACATTTATTTTCACCTCACGTGAAAAAAGTCCAGCTTCGGTAGTTTAGGATTTGTTTGATAACTTAATGCTGTCAAGTACCTAGCCCACATCTACACCTCCCTGTAGCAAAGCCATAGGAGCTATCTCCAGCACCCTGGGAATACTTTTGGATTTTGTTGCAGCAGAATGAACAGATTTTGTATTTCAGCCTGTTCTGGCAAAGCTCTGTCCTAATCATAAGCTGTGTTTTTTTCTACTTTCTGTCCAGGGTATTTAGGTGTCATACAATCTGCCAGGTCAGCATGAGGATGCAGTCCAGAAACGTGAAGGAGCTGGAGGGAAAATGCTCCAACCGCTTGGCGCTGGAGATGGTAACTGTTTAAAGACATTCTGCCAGCTTCTCAGGGGATACCTGGTGGCATTGAGCCCTCATCGCCTGCAGCAGAAGCCTGGATATCACATCTTTCTATGGGCTTGTCCTCCTTTCCTATTTTGCTGTGGTTGCTTCCAGGGACCAGGTTCCTTTTCTCCAAAATAATTGTACTAAGATCTTGATTTAGGTTTTGTTTCTAAACAAACTTAATCTATGATCCTTATTTACATTCAAACCATAGGCTATTACACCTGTTGTACTTATATACAACATTAACGGGACAGCCGGAAAATACCAGATGTCAAGAAAAAAACATAAAAAAAACTTCCAATTTTTAAAATTACACTTCACACTGCACTTCATTTTCTGTGACTGTGGGCTAAAGTTACCATATGAACTCAGTTATCCCAAAATGTGTAGATGAACTTTGGGACTAGAATATATCACAAATAACCAGCTCAAGTAGCAGGTGTTCTGAGATGAATCTCTAACATAACTGTAAAAATCGATATCTTAAATATCTAGTTCTTAGAGTACTATTTGCATCTGTTGCATTGATTCCATGGATTTTTGGTACATTTCTTTTGTTTTCTCTAGCACAGAGCCTGAACCATGCTTGCTGAGTCAATGAATCGATTACTAATAAGAACCAATTTCTGTTTTCTTGTAAGTTGAGAGTAATAAACTGCATTCTTGAGGAATTTTTAAGAACTCTGAGCACTTATATTTTAAACTGTGAAGCAATATTTGGAAAATTATTTTTATATAAAGGAGTATTTTAATTCTTGCCTTTAGAAAGTATAAAGCCTATACATGATTTGGGAATGAAGCTATACCAAACAACGGTCAAAGAAGAATTGTCCATTCTACATCTTCTCTTTTGGCTGGTCACGCAGAAAGATGATGTTATCAGCAATGATGGTTGTTGTATTCACCTTAGTCTACTTTCCCTTCCACATAAATCTGAGACCTGTTTTTCACATACTGATAGGCCACATCTCTGAGGCTGGGCTGGAATGGTGATATGCTGTACCATGTTGTTTTTTCACTGACGTCACCCATTTGCTATGTTTTGTTATTCCTGATTGTCACATCTCATTCGTTTCAAGGGAAAATACCACGACTGGATTTTTTTCCTTCTCCCTGTCTCATGACAGGGTTTTGATCAATTTACCCCAGTAACTGTACATGATTCAGTGATATTTTAAGCTGCTCTCTTGTACCAAACTCCTGTCTTACAAACTGATGAAGTATTTGTAACTCAGATCTTCAAAACATGACTTCCATTTTCTTTTCTTACAATCTAATTTTTGTGTTCTCCCCCACACTCCAGCCAGTGCAGCCTCCAGCTAGGGGCTCATTGGCAATTCATTAACACAATAATTTTACAAAGGAATAAATGGCTGCATATATTATCTATTATTTGTCAAATCATTTTATACATTAGAAAAACTATGTGGTGACTTTTAAATTTTTTACAGAGGCAGACAGATGGTGATTGAGCTTCTGTCAGCTGGTTCACTCCTCTAAAGCCTGAAAAGCTGAGCTAGCCTTAAGCAAGGACCTGGAACTCAATCCAGGTTTCCCTAGGGGACAGCAGGAAGCCACTTGTTTTGGCCATCATTTGCTGGCCATCAGGGACTGCCTTAGGACACTGGAATGAGGAATCTGAATGGGATGGGTCCTAGACGTTCTGACATGCAATGAGAGACCCCACTGCCAAGCTAACTGCCTGCCCTCCGTAGTGGCATTTTAAGAAATTACAAATAAAGCACAAACTGATCATTAAAAGAAATCTGAAAAATCAGTGGAGGAAATCCTGGAGCCTGTGGAACTGTATCATAAAATAATAAAAAAAATCACTATTTTGGTCTCTTCTAGAATAAAGCACCAAATGCATAATCTGTTCAATTTAAAACTTCAGAAGAAAAAGAAAGTAAGGCATACAAGTGAGAAATATTTTACAATTTGCATGTTTATTGTGTAACAAGCTATATTATATTCTAATATCTGCAAATATTACTTTATAATGATTTTGCCATCAGGATTATACACTATGATGCCACACATCCCAAAATCCTTAATAGAAAAGAGCTATTAGCATATTTATCCAGCTAAGCTCAGTTTAAATTGAATTTATAAGGTTAAAACTGTGTGCCCAAGTCTGTTCTGTTTGCACAGTAATTCCCCGGTGTCTATATAGTGTGCCATCCTGTATTTCCAAGGAGAAAGAATTAGAGAGGAATAAACCTAACTGACCCACTTGTTTGACTTCTAGAAGGAGAATCTCTCCGCATTTTGCTACTTTTCTCATCTGGTTGCCAGTAATCTTCAGTGGTATTCATATATTCTGAGTTGATTCTCTGTTATCATTGTAATGCTGCTGTAAAAATGTACCATAAAATGGAAAAGTCAAAACAACAAAGCTTTATTCTTTCCTAGTTCTGGGGTTGAGCAGTCTGACGAGCACAGACATGGTCACTGGGCTGTGGTTTTTGCTGAAGATTCTAGTGGATGCTCCTTCTTTGCCACTCTCTGGCTTCTGGTGGTTGCCAGCCAGTTTTGGAATCCCTGAGCTTGTATGACACTGTAGCCTCTGTCTTGCATGGTCTTTCCTCCTGAGCATCTATGTCTTACCTCTTCCTGGACTCCAGTTTTATTGGAGTTAGGGCTCACCCTAATCCAGAATGGTCCCTCTTAACTTAGTTACACCTGCTGAGATGTTGGTTTCAACTGTGCTTATACCCACAGGTACCTGGAGTTAGAACTGCAATACTACTTTCTTGGGAGACACAAGGGAATATATAACACATATCACATACATTTCTTTTGAAGCCTGGAAGCCAGCACCACATTATCCATAAAGGTAAAGGGTACTATAATTGTCTATTACACTTCTCAACAAAATCCAATGCTAAACTGAAAGTAGTAGATATACATAAGGGGTATTCAAGTAGACTTAAGAATAGTGAATGTCTAGGTGACAAAAATGGCTTTCTTTCTTTGTGTGATGATTTCTCAAAGGAAGATGAAATTCATAGGAACTAAAATAGCTTCTGCAAACAGTGAAATATTCCAAATTCATTTTCACTGAGGAAAGGCCCAATAAGTACAGTTTTGGAAAACAACATTACATACTATCGAGACAATTACAAGCAAGGGATAGTGTGATGGGTGTGTAAGTTGTGACTTCTCTTCTGTATCCAGAAAATGCATCCAGCTACATTTGATTTCTCTTCGACTTATCTACAGTTCAGCCATTCATTGCTTCTTGAAATCCTAGTAACTCTGTGAGTGCTAAGATCGAAGGCATAATAGGTGGGTCCACTAAAGAAAATGAAGAAATCTGTAATAAAAGAGAATTTGTTGAGTTAACCTAGAGACAATTCAGCTGTCTTCAATTAAAGAAACTGCCCCTTTACCAATGTAATATTCAAATGCAAAAACACTATTTTAAACCTGTAAACAAATTAGCCATTTTTTTTTCTACTTACAGTACCACTGGAAAACTGCATCAACTTTATTTCCTATTTCTGGAGATAATCTTGATATACTTTTGGGATATCCTGGCTCCATGGATTGCCTTTCATTGTCATACCTGATAGGAACGAAATGTCCCATGACTTAATAATCATATAAAACCAAATGTTAACAGTTTTCTTGTAATTGTACATATTTAATGTAGTGCCTTTACACATGTTTCCCTCGTTCAATCATTGTGATGTCCTACTTACCAGAATTAAGAACATCTAACTTCTTTACCCAAGGGTATGCACTTACTTATAAAACTTCACGGGTACATTCATCTTTGTTTTTTTAATTTATTTTTATTAAAAAAGCAAATCAGATTTACAAAAACAAGGACATAGTGAAAGATCCTCCATTTCCTGGTTCACTCCCCAAATGGCTGCAGCAGCTGGAGCTGAGCTGATGTGAAGGAGGAGCCAGGAGCTTCTTCCAGGTCTCCCACATGGGTGCAGGGTCCCAAAGCTTCGGGCTGTCTTCCACTGCTTTCCCATACCAATAAGCAGGGAGCTGGATGGAAAGTGGAGCAGCTGGGACACAAATCACTGCCTGTAGGGGAGCCGGGCCCAGGTACATTAATTCTATTTTCATAATGAGCTTATTATGCTTTCTAGGACTTTGAGTTATGTGATGCACATAATTCTGTGTGTGTGTGTGTGTGATAAGTTTGATTTACACACCACAATCTATGAGATCTTTGAATTTCTTTCGTTGACTGTCAGAATTTTACTCAGAAATGAGCGTTAGTCCAAGTCTTTGTTCACATTCCAGCCTGCTGCTTAATGAAATTTTGCTCTGTTTCCTGATGTAGAGTTCTCAAGGGTATCATACATGCATTTAAATGTTATGGAAGTGGAATGCAAGCCATGGCAACATCAGTATATGCCCTCACTAAAGCCCAGTGAAGAACACATAGATATTTAAAGCCTTTGCATGTGTGATTGTTAGCAGTGTGCAGTAAGAGTGGGAAATACAGATGTCAGCCTCTAGTTGAAAAGCTAGTTTACCTTACCTCCAGAATTGTGTGTTCACAAAGAAGTATATCTTTCTTCTGTAGAAAACAGCTGCATCAATAGCTTGCACAGTACTGGGGAAGCCATAGTTTGATATATCTTTGGGGTAGCCATGCAGAATATCATAGTCACTCAGGGCCCAGTATTGTCTGCCTGTCAATGATTCAGGCTCTGTGTTAAAGATCTTTCATTTCATAAATCTACTAGAGATATGAAAATGGAACAAATCCTCATAGTCTAAAAAATGAAGGTGGCAAAGTGGATGCAGGCTATGATAGCACTAACGATTCCTCAGTATCTATCATAACATCCAAACTGCTTGGCCAGACATTCGGGTCAGGGCTGCACAATTCAATATCTTACATAAATTCTATACACAAGCTAAATTAGAGCTTTGAGCAATCTTAGAAAATTATAACTAGGATGAAAACACAGGACTATGAAAGATCACTAAATGCCATCTTCCCGTTTTGTTGATGAGAAAACTGAGGCTTCATGAAGGTACAGCCTCCTCATGTCTATCAAGTAGTTCTTGGTTAAGAGTGGCTCAGCCCAGGCTCCTGGCAAAAGCCTGGGCACCTCCTCTGAACCAACAGGGATCACAAAAAAGCCCTGCACCCACCCTTCAGGTAGAAATAAATAAGATGAAAATTGTAAGAAGTTACCTTTAAAGAGGAAAATTAGGTCCCTATCAAAATCCTCATAAGCAGCCTCTATGCCACTTGGCAGGGATGGCCAGAACAGGGAAATGGAACTCAGCTCAACTCTTTGTAGCTGAGGATGTCGTCTCCAAATGTACCTAATGGAATAGAAGGCTATGTTCACAGAATGGTCTAAGTCAGCAGTTTCGGTGATTCTTGGGCTAGTGATGACCATTGCTGGGAGGATATCAGACTACATTGCAGTCCAAACACAATAGCGAGCACCACCAAACTACAGCACACATAGTATCCAAACACAATAACCAACACAATAACTGCGTTATGAAATGGTCCACCTGGTGAGTACATTATAATTTTGGGTGAAAGTCCCAGGAATGAGCTTATTTCATTACATTCGGCATTGTGCTCTACTCACATGTTGATGAATTTTTATAAAGTCAGATAAAGAGAGAGGACGAAAGACAGAGAGGACAATCCTCCGTCCGATGGCTCACTCCCCATTTGGCCACAATGGCTGGAGCTGAGCCAATCTGAAGCCAAGAACCAGGAATCTCCTCTAGGTTTCCCATTCGGGAGTAGGGTCCCAAAGCTTTGGGCCGTCCTCAACTGCTTTCCCAGGCCACAGGCAGGGAGCTGGATGGGAAGTGGGGTCGCTGGGATCAGAACCAGGACTCATATGGGTCCCTGCACATTCAAGGTGAGGACCCTAACCTCTACGCTATTACGCCAGGCCCCACTGTTTTAAATAATAATTTGGAGTTATTATTTACAACAAGTTATTATTTATGTACCCACAGCCAACAATCACACAATCACACACACACACAGATCAATGGGAATAATAATAAATGGGAAAGGGAAATTGCCAGTGCATCAGATCTGCTTCACAGCCCATAAATGATCATTTCCATTTATTTGACTGTTGGTACCAGGTAAACTCAGCTGTGAACTTACTCAGCACCTACAGACCATGTCTGTGTCGCTTTTCACTGAGCTCTGAATGCTTGTCAACATTTTGCTTTTCCTTTTCTTGGTTGTTTATCCAGAATACACTAAGAACTCAGTGGTATGCATACATGTAGAATCCAAAGGAAAAGCTGGGTACTCATGACTTCATTGGAACCCAGTGTCAAGGTGTACCCATGAGGGAAAGAGAAGGAACCGTGCTATCTTATACTTGTCTTTAAAGAAAATGATTTCTCCCCGGAGAGTGGTGGCAGCATCAAAAGTCAGCCTGGGATCACAAGCTCTGGGTGTGGTCGCTCCCGTGGGCTGGACAGGGCGGCTTGAAGGTCCTGAAAGCACAAAGGTGTTGTAAGGGCTCAAGTCCAGTGTGATGACCAGTGTCCTTTCAGACAGGACAGGAAATGCTACCAAACAATGAAGTAACTCTCATGCGGCTCTCTGAAGATTTTTATTTGCTTATTTAATAAAAGTAATAATGATTTTCAGGGCCAGTTCCAGATGAAGTTTGAGGCAAAAAAAAAAAAAAAAAAAGAAAGAAAAGTTCACACCCTCTCCTCCCTTAAATTCTAATCCCGCCTCATCTCCTTCCACTTATTCTTTCTCTACTCCCATTCACTTGCAGGATGGAATCTTGTGTTAGTCTTTTTTTTTTTTTTAACACATCTTTGGAACACATTTATTTAAAAAAATGAAGATTTGTAATCAATACTAATAGCATGGTAAACTTAAACTTAGAAAGAAGATTAATGCCAAGATAATTACATGCAACGGAATCTTGTATTAGTTTTGTAGCACAAATCTCAGTTCAAATCTCAGCTATGTTGTATCTAATATAGATACAATTAATACATTGGTATTTTCTCACGGTAGAATGAAGTGCTACACGAGTAATAAAGAGATTTTGAAACATGGGTGAACAAAAGGAAGGAGACATTTTCAGGGTGAAGGAAAGAGATGAGGAATAAAGGCAGAGAGGAATTCATTCCTGAAAATTGTTTTGTCATGAAAAGAAATCTGATTTTGATGCCTTGCCAACATTGATTCTTAAAATTATCATTTTTTTAAGTTTTATAAAATGAGTATGTGTCATACTCTTCATGATACATATTCCCCTCCTCCTTATCTCTTATCATTTTCCCCAAAATTATTAAAACATCATATTCGGTTACTTATTGGCATATTTGGTTACCTATTGATATTATAGCACTGTCCCATCGGAGAGAAGGAAGTGCATTCCTTAATTGCACTCCTGTCCATCCCATTTTACTCTTGATTAAAAATAATAATTTAATTTTATCTGCAAGATAGATTTACAAAGAGAAGGAGACACAGAGAAGAAGGATTTTCCAACCACTAGTTTATTCCCCAAATGGTTCCAACAGGCAGAGCTGAGTGGATCTGAAGCCCGGAGCTGGGTCTCCCAAACAGGTGCACAAGGCTTTGGTGCATCCTCTGCTGCTTTCCCAGGCCACAAGCAGGCAGCTGGATGGGAAGTGGAACAGCCAGGGCTAGAATCAGCACTGATCTGGGATTTTGGCTCTGCAGGTAGACAATTAGCTTGTGAGCCCTCATTTTACTTGTTCCTTCCACTTTACTACTCATGCGTTAACAAGAGCAGAAAACTCCTTTTCTTGTTTCTCTGCTCTTTTGGTTGTGACAGAGCGGGGACTGAGGTCATTTCCTGGCCCCCAGAGCTTCTTATCACAAGGCAAAAAGATTCCTATATTTCTTCCTCAAAAACCTCAGTAATGCACTTAAAAAATTCTTTTCTCATTCCCTCATTCTTCCACTAACACTACTTTAATATCTTCCCTCTGTATCTTTTTATTTGCATGTTTCTTATCAATGCCTTGCTTTATCTATACACATTTTAACTTATGTATATTCATATAGCATACATTTCAACTTCTATTGCATGATAACATATCATTCTATTTTTGTGTGTGTGTGTGAAGCATATGGTTTGAAAAAAATCTTCACACTGCTGCTAAATGTGCATCTGAGTCATGCTTCCAAGCATTTCATGCACTTGCCACATTGTTACTGTGGAGTCTCCTCTCATAGAACATCACCCCCTCTGCTTCTCTCTGGTTTTCAATGCTACAAATCAGGCTGCAAAAAAACATACTCAGTGTGCCTTGTACATGTCTATTGATCTATGTGAGAATTTCCTTGAGACACAAGTTCAAGATTGGGGATGATCATATCATTTTATAACATGTAAAATTGCAAGCATAAGAAAAGAAAATGTCTCCCATTCTGAGTTAATGGCTGAAAATCATTGTGGTACATTTTTTTTCTCATCTTTTAATTAAGGGAGCAATTGAATACCTCCCCTTTAAGCTTTTTTGCTAACATTGTATTTAACTGGAACATTCCATAATTCAGTTTGTGCTTGTGCAATTCGGTTTGTGAGAGATGCTCAGATGTCGAGTTCACTGAGGGCCTATACTTAGTAATTCAGCGTTCTTCAGATGTGCTTACCATAGATGGCCTGAATGCCATTGATGTCATCCTGGGAGAGTGAATATGTGCTAGGTTCTCTGAAAATGTAATTTGGGTACATCAAGGCACCAGGATCAGAGGAGTGAGCGAGTCCCAAGGAATGGCCAAATTCATGAGCAGCAACAAGAAATAAGTTGTAATCTGAAATGCAAGCATGTGTGATTATTAGATTTAAGTGGATCCAAGGGTGGTAGAAGACTGGTCTCAAGGGAGACAGCCTCCAAACCCCAACTGCCTGGGGACACATTGCTCCCTTTGCCTATCTTTCTCACCTTTCCTTCAAATTCTTCAAGAAATGGATATTAGGAGAACCAAGACAGGAGACATACGTTGAGATGAGGTAAGTGTGAGCTTATCATAAAATCTTAGAAGCTAAAAATCTGCCATTATCCCAACCCTCATATTTTATAAGGCTTGGATAAATGATGGCAGCACATTTGTTGAAACATCTCTGCATCCCATTAATGAGTACCATTAATAAGTGTTTAAAATTTTAAAAAGTGCTTATGGATATGGAAATGCTAGTTAGCCTGATTTATTAACACACACACTGCCTACTTGTAGGTGTCAAATTATCAATGATACATCATAAATATATGCAATTAACATAACAGCCAAGAAAGGAGAAATTATAGTAGAGCCATGGTTCCGTGGTTCCATGGCTCTAGGCACCTGTGTCTCCTGTTCTCTTGCTGGAGTGCCAGATCCTCATGCTCATCAGTGGCATCTCAGGGAACAGGTGGCTGAAAATGAAACTTGGCAGGCAAGGGAGCAGCCTGAGACGCAGGCTGAGCAAGATTGGCTTTTGACCACCCATAGTTTGGTACCAGCTCTTCTCTGTTGTAAAGAATCCTAGTAGCTAGACAGATAAATTTTCTGTCTTATTTCTCCTGTTCTTCTTTTAACCTCTGAGATCATGGTGCCTTTCACAATTGAGAACATAAAAATGATAAAGATCCTTCTTGATATCAAAGCCTAAGACTTTTTGCCTATCCTTCAAGACCTTCCTCACAGGGCCAAGCAGAGGTTTGAGAGCTTCACCTGTAGTCTCTGTATACCCTTCTGTGCCTTCTCTCATGTGATACTTTTTAAAAAATTCATAGTTGTAGAATACCTAACTCATGCTACATAGTATGATGTTTAATCTTAGCAATGATTTTTTGTGAAATTTGATGAGCAATATTTTTACAGTAAAGGAACTAAAGTCAACAGATTTTAAATACCATACAGGTCTTGTAACTAATATGTGATGGATCTGCGGCTGAGACCCCAGGTGAAATGGTAGGGCATGCATTACCACAGTGTTGAATTGCTTATTGATAATTAGCCTAGCAAGATTCTACTCATGTTCCAAGATGTGTTTTTTTTTTTAAGAAAATGTATTTTTTATTTAACAGATTTCCCAAGAGTTGGGGTCCTCCATCTACTGATTGACGCCTCAAATGGCAACAATGGCTGGGGCTGGACCAGGCAGAAGCCAGTTGTTTAGAACTCCATCTGGTTTTCTACATGGGAGCAGGGGTCAAGGACTTGAACAGTGCTTCTCTGCTTCCCCAGGTGCGTTAGCAGGAAGTTGGATCAAGGTGGAACAGCAGAGACTTGAAGCAGTGCTCGTATGAGATTCTGGTATCACAGGCAGTGGTTTAACCTACTATAGCACACTGCTAGTCCCTGGGGCTTGCTGTTTTGTAGTAATGTTCTTCCACCTGAGTAATTAAAAATCCCTCATTGAGTGCTTGGAGAACTGTGCAAGGAAACACAGGAACTGTTACTATGACTTTCTGCTCTTGGGCAGTGCACAGTTTAGAAGGGGGAGAGAGGGAGATGCAGGTAACCACAAGTCCCAGAATAGTGAGAGACAGCAGTTGGAGAAGGAGGTACAAACATTGTCAGGATTCTGAGGAGAAGGTTCTCCTTGCTAGGTAAGGGCACAATGCAGCCTTCGATGCCGCAAAGAAAGATGAGGAAGACTTGGAAAGATGGGGTTTGAGGCAATGGGAAACTCATTTCAGGAAAGGAGAACAATGTAGGATGACTTAGAGAGAATGAAGGGTGCAGGATACTCGCTAGCAGCAGTGAATGTACGATACGACTATGAATGTAAAAGATGAAGGACAAGCCAAGACTTTGTTTTGCAATTTGAAAGGCAGGAGAAGGAAAGGTGGAATGTGGGAGGTAGGGAGAAAGAATATGCACATGGGAGAACACTCTAATTTGATCATTTACTCCCTGAATACCTGCAGCAGCCAGGGCTAGGCCAGGGGAAAACCGGGAGCCAGGAATTTGTGTTCTTCACGTGGGTGGCATGAACCCAACTACCTGAGCCATCATCTTCTGCCTCCTGGGGCGTGCATAACTAACAGGAAGCAGGAACAGGCTCAGAGCTGGGATTCAAATCCAGGGAGTATGATATGGGACACAAGTATATTAATGCTGGACCAAATGCCTAATTCATCAAAAATTGGGGTGGAAAAGCAATACCAGATGAAGCTATTTGGACCAGGTTTGGGTAGATTATGTGAACACTGGAACTTTTAAGCAGGCAATAGTATGACTCATGATGGGCTTTCTGAGGACAAATCTTGCTGAAGTACTGGGAAAAAATGAGAGGCAGAGGGTGGAGGCAATGTGTCCTGGTAGGAATCATTGCATATATTTACGTAAGTGGTAATTTAATGATGACCTGAATTCGTGAAGAATACATGGAAACACAGTATTATGGGAAATTGTTTTTTATGTCTGTGTACACAAGGTCGTTACTACGGAATAGACACAACACGTAGCCAGAGAGACTGGTAAAAGAACAGATTCAAGCAAAGTTAGAAAACAACTTTCCTTTTATTTTCTAGAATGTGCTGTCACACTGTGACCCTATAGCCTTGTCAAGTTCTGCATCCTCTCAGACCTTAGTAAGGTTAAGTGTTCTCCCAAACAGATGGTTTTGATACAAGGGGACAAGCCGTTGGCAAAAACTCCAGGAACTTGACTAGAGGGAAGGGAGCTGCTTTTATTCCTAGATGAGTATAATTCTAAATTTCCAAAAAAAAAAATAGGCCTCTGGAAAACATCATTCAATTTCAGAATATTAAAAATATATGCTCTAAAGGAGTGGGCAGCAAACCTTACGTGCTAAATAGTCCACTCTCAGCTCTGTCATTGCAGGGTGGAAGTAGCCGTGAATGACACACGAGCAAATGAGTTGGCCTAGTTTCAAAGTATAACCTGTCTGTATAAACAGGGAGCAGGAAGGAGCAGGACCTGACCTATGGTTTTTTGATCCCTGCCTTGGACACTTCAAGTGCATCCCACAGAAATTCGTGTGCTAGAAGCTTCCTTTCCCAATCACTGGGAAGCAGAGCCCTGCTCTCGTGGGTGGATAAGGAGTGCTACAGAATGTGCCTGGCTGTAAGCTTTCCCTCTCTGCCCTACTTTGCTCCTCTACCGTGTGAGGATGTAGCATGTTGTCAGATGCCAACACCTTCATTTCGGTTTTCCGAGATTCCAGCACTGTGACGAGTTCTGTTCTTTATAAATCATTTAGAGGTGGTTTGTGTTGTGGCATAGTGCATTAAGTCTCTTATAGTGTCCCATAGGGGAGACAGCTCAAGTCCTGGTTCTTCCACCTGCACTTTCTTAGCCAACATGTCTGGAAAAACAGCATAAAATGGCCCAAGTACCCAGGCCCCAAACCTGTGTATGAGACTCAAATGAAGCTCTAGGCTCCTGGCTCTCAGCCTGGCCCAGCCCTGGCCTTTACAGCCATTTAGGAGAGTAAGCCAGTGGATGGAAGCTGCTTCTACGTTTCTCTCTCTAATTCTGCCTTTCAAGTAAGTTAGTAAGTAAATAAATAAATAATCCAATGTCAAGTGTTCTATTAGATTAAAACTAAAGTGTTAAAAGACACTGCTCTAGGAAATAAGATTAGAAACGAGATTTTTAAAAATCTAAGTTGACTATATCTTGAGGTCGGAAACATTGCAATAGATCAGTTTGTGTGAATTTAAAATTTTACAATATCCTGAGTATATGTTAGCTAGAGTGGAAAAGGCTAGTTCAGAGATTGTGTGTAACTATGACCTCGGATAACTTACTTCTGGAGGTTTTAGTCCATGTTTCTTCAGCATCAAAATGAGCATCTCCTCCAATGCCTCGGCCCGGCTGGAAGGCATGGGCGAGGACTCCATTGGGTCCATCAAAGGGAGAATTGTCACCATGAGCTGAAACAAAACAATTTACGTGAGTCTCAGGCTTGTGAAGAAAGCAGAACTGCACATGACTTCTTGGAGCCTACCTCCTTGGGCAAAAGCAATATTGATGTCTGCGTCTCCCTGAAGGATTCTGGTGAAGGTCAGAGGGCTTACGGCACTCCAGACTTGAAAGGCTTTCTCAATAGCTGCTTCCACATCAGCTCTTGACAACTGTGGGGTATAGTTTATAATCCTTCAAAATGAGAAGGGGCACAAAGAGCTGATTAATGCTTAGAACAACTGTCAGCAGAATAGGGTGCTGTCCTTGGAGTGAGTTGCGTATGTGACATAATGTCACCAGAGAGAGTACGAAGAGGGAAACTCGTCTCAGAGACAATGACAGACATTGGTCTGGACTAGTTTTTCCAGGTCTCTAAACCTCAGATTGTTAATAAAGTCAGAGTATAAGATAGTGTTTTTCTGGAGCTTGAACACATATAAAGCATGCAATTTGATACATGGCAAATAGTGTTCAACAAATATGGATATTAATGTTATCATTAAGATATATGAAGGATGGGACTACTCTTTAGCAATGATTGAATTCTGGGCTCTAAATAATGGCTTAGGAAGGCACCTAGCACCCAAATCGTCCTCTTTGGGTTATTGGAGAAGGCTTTGAAGTGAAAAGAGCCCATGGGAGTTGTTCTCTTTCATTTTCATATTCATTTGCTATTCACAGCTCTGCTCAGCACCACTGAACTCAGTCATACTCTTACATAGGAGCGCTTATCAATCTGTGCCTGTTTTGTTCCAAGTTCTAGAGCAGTGTGCTGTATCTCAGGAGGGCTTGGTAACTTCTGCACCAGTGGATGAAATGTGAAGCTTGGAAGATCACCTGTAAGTCAGGTCGGTGCTTTCCCACCGGGGGTTTCCCGGGGTTAACACAAAGCTGCCGGTGTCGGGCACTCCACAGCGAGGCTTCTCCATCATTTCCAGAGTTTCTGCATTTGGCTTCCCCGTCACATTCAACCCAAAAAATCGTTGCATTTCTTTAAGCTTTTCAACAACCATACTTATGTTGTTCCTTCTCGCAGACCGATATTGGTGGCTTGGTAATTGGTAGAACTTTTCTAGGTAATTCTGAACAAAGACAAACGTATGAGTGATTAGTGTCTTCTATAAAACAGCTTGTGTCCTACAGGCATTTTCTAATCTTTCCTAAGTAGCTGTAGATGTCCAGCAAGGACTAAAGAGCCAGGCAGCCACAGGAACAGAAACATACATTCATGGGTTGACCTAGAGACTCGTAAAAAACAATTGATCAAACACACAAAAACAAAAACAAAACTTCATGTTTAGTGCTCCAATTAATGTTCACAAGGAAAAATGAGCTATCCTAAAGAAAAAGGACAAAATGCTGCTATGTAGTCAGAAGATGGCTTATTTTTATAATACATAAAATTAATTGACTTCTCCTCAGCTATTAGCTCATCAATACAGATCTTGCATTTTTAAAAATCCTATTTTTATAACTGTAGAGCAAGTTTAATGATCTTCATAAAGAAATAGAGACACAGGGATGTAAGGAATTCCCAGGTGACAATTCTGGTCCCAACTCACAGTGTTGTCTCTCAAACAAGAATTGATAATTTCCAAAGAAGAGTATAAAATATGTTTTGAGGTAGCAGCAGCATCATTGCTAGCAGAATCCTATTTATTTATTTATTTCTCACACTTTAAAAGGGGTCAACACTCATTAGGAAGCACAGATTCGAAGGTGATATCAAGCCAATCTGATAAGATTTCCTTATCTGAGTGTCTTACATAACACTAGGCACTTCACAGGTGACAGAGCTAGCGCATGCACTTTGAATCAGAAAAATGTGGGTTCAAATCTCAGTGTTGCCATGGATTACACGTAAATCCTTACACACGTTACTAGCCTGATTTAAGACTCATTACTATCTCTGAAATGGGACTAATAACACCCTCTCCACAGGATTGCTGTGTAGATCAAAATGAGACAATGTTTGCAAATACTTAGCCAGGAGTTTTGGACAGAGGAAGCACCCATGGACCCTAAGCATTATCACCGTGAATGCTGTGACATTGAAACTAATACTCAGAACAAAGAAAGAAAACAGGAATAAGAACAATGTTTTTGAAGAGCTTCAGTGCTAAGAAAACTGTGCAGGAGGTATTTATAACAGTACTCCTTAGCATTTCTTAAAAGCTTGGATTGACTTTCATACTGGGATACAATGAAGAAAAGTTGTTGGTTCTGCTTTAACAATGCTCTCAAGGGCTTATAAGCAGCCTACAGTCTGATGCTGGGAGGTTCAAGGAAATGATAAGCAGATTAGACACACAGCAGCTGGGCTGCAGATATATGGAAAAGAAAATAAGATGAAGACAGGAAACCATTTGGTTGAAAAAATAAAAACTTTCTGCATAAGACAGCTCCTTGGCTGGAGAAAGACTTGCAGCAGGATTTTCGAGTTTATTTTCATACCCAACTTTTACCAGACCTAGTCCTTGCCCACTTGGACACTTCCAAATTGCTGCAAGATGTTCAACCCTAAGCAAATCACCCAGATAATTTCTCCTCCTCTTCCTCCTTCTTCTTTCTTTTCTTATTTTAGACGATGTTTATATAGTCAATCCGGGTGAGAAGGATCTAGGGTTAGGCAGAAGTAGGTGTAATCTTTGTTTCCAAACTTTTGATTTCTTCTTCCCATTTTTGGGACGGGAGGGCCAATAAGGGGAGAGGCCATACCCAGCATCCCAACTATCCCAGTACCCAAAATGGGAAAAGACCACCTGCTATCAACCCAGGGGCACAGTGTTGCACATACTCTGGTTCTGCCCAGGTGAATGTGAGAGTTCTGAAATGCTATCAATCTTGCCAGTCTGTGGATGAGGAATCCCTTCCAATGTCCATTGGCTAACACAGTCAACCCTATAGTCTCCATTTGCCTAGATATTTGCTGTCATTGTTTGGCTGGGTAGTTGTCCATATGCTCTGTTCTTCATTCTCTGCTATGGTACCAGATGTCCTTTGCAGGCCCCAACATGGGCTACCATGTTCTCCATGTGCACCATGGTCTGCTGTCTAGAACTCCATCCTCTGCACTGAGGAGCATCAGTGTTCTGCTAGAAGTGCTCATAGACCTGAGCCAGGCAACCTGGCCAAGCTGTATCCCCACCCCTGGGGCTTATGGATCCAGCACCCAGCGTGCAGGTGGACCCAAGGGAGCTGGGTGATGTGACTTGGGACCCACTGGACCCTCTACCCTGGGGCTCATAGACGAGGCACCTACCACACAGGTGGGCCCAATATCTGGGCCAGGAGACCCAACCCCCTCTAGACACTCCCCCACCCCTGGGGCTCATGAAACCAGTGCCTACAACATATGCAGGCCCAGTGATCTGAGCCAGAAAACCCAGCCCCTGCAGACCCCCAACCCCCGGGACTCATGGATCTACCACCCCCCTTGCAGGCCCAAGGGCCCTCTGTCCCTGGGGTTCAGGAACTCAACACCCAGTACCCCCAGACTGGCATGGCTCATCTCTCCTTGGCATTCACCAATGGGTGGGGTGCTTCAGCCTAGTTTGGTCCAACCTTCCTGCAGTTCAGCTTGTGCTAGTTGGTGCTGCAGCCTAGCCTTGCCCAGCCAGACCCAAGTCCTGGCCCTAATGTGAATTGGCTGGTGTTGCAGCTCAACCTGGCCCCACCTGTACCCCATCCTTGTTATAAGATCTAACAGTGAGTGCTAAGAATTGGCCCAGGCTGGCCCACCCCCTGAACTGACCCACATGTATGCCAACAGGTACTGTAACTTGGTCTGGTTTGGGCTGCTCCTTGTCTTGGTTCTTGCACTTACCTGAATGGACTGCAACCTGACAAAGCAGATCACCAAACTCCTCTATCTGGTCTTCTCCCAGTGGCAGATCTTGCGCACACCAGTGGGTTCTTGGCCCAGATTGACCTGTTGTCCTGGCAGGAACTGTGTCCTTGCCCAATCAGCCCATATCCTTTCTGATTCTTATCATTAGGTGTTACAGCCAGCCACACCTTTTCCACTACCAGACACAGGTCTCTCATGGTTCAGCTAGAGCTGAGACCTAGCACAGCTCGTTCTACACCCACACTGACTCTCACGAGTACCAGTGGGTGCTGGGGTCTAGCCCAGTCTGACCAGTTCACACCACTGCTGAGGGAGATTGCAGCCATGTTCATCCCAGGACAATGCACTGATCTGGTTCTTGCGTTCACCAGTAGGAATACCAGCCCAGCAGGGGCATCCCCTTAGCTCCTTAACCAGACAAATTCCCAGCCACACCTCTTGTGCATGCCAATAGAGATTGCTACTCCACATGGGTGAACCCACATACTCCCTTGCAGATTCTACCCCCAGACCTGACTCACTCACATATTTGTTGACTTCATGGCCCAGCCTCACAGTACCCATTCCCTTTTCTGATGCTGGTGGGTTCTATGTTGTAGCCCTTCAAGTAGAGTAGCCTTGTCTGTGGAAGTCCCAGAGAAGTCATCCATCACCTGGACATTAACTCTCAGGTCCCTGCTTATCCCCACCTGTGCCATCACCCAGACTCCTTGTAACCCCGTACCCACAAGTCCACAGAGCACACTGCTGTGTGGCCTGAGGGCTTCACCTGGCACCACTGGCACTCAAGCAACCCAGCCCGAATTCTCATATCTCAGACACAGCACCCAGATAATTTCTTTCAGGCTGTTTCCATGAATCAGAGTCCTAGAGAATCAACTCTCACAATTTTCTAATAATTGAAAAATCAACCACCTATCTAAATGATAGTTCATTTACCTGAACAATTTCTGCATTTTTGTCTTCTGGGTGTTCCAAAGGTACTGAAAAGGCTCCAGAAAGCAGCATGTGGAGTAAGAACAGGACCAGAAGTGCATGCAGGGAGACCATGGCCTTCTTTCCAGACATTACTTCTCCTGGTTCTCTTTTCTGCTTCCCTGGGGGAAGGCCCTGCCCTTGAATGGGGACCCTGAGGTTCATCAAATTGTGATCATGCAGTGATCTTTTAGCCCTTTTAAAGCTATGTCTTAAACAGTTGCTGCATCAGGAACATGAAGCAACACAGGTTAATTACACTGTGAAAATGTTGCAATTATTATAAGGTGATTTAGTGTTCCAAAATGGGGCATTCATGCAATAAAAAGGTATAGCTTTTTACTTCTGCTTTTGGGGTTCTCAGTCAGGGTTTTTTTTTTTCATAATTGCATGGTCAAAGAAAAGGAACAGGAGACTAAGTCTGAAGTTGTAGGCTTGCATTTCCTGATTATGTAAGACACTGGGACTGTATTACTTTGTGCGGAGGAATCTTGTGAGTTGGTGGTAGGTGTTGTGGGACCAAGAAACTACACGAGAGACTCTCTGTACTGATACTTCAGTGTAAGTGAAGTGGCTGTGCCTGCGTGCACTGCCACTAGCACGATCTATGTGGGGAAGGCAGAGAAGCTTCTGCAGAATGTGGTCCTTGGCATTAATTCACTGTATAAGCTGGATTTTTAATGAAAAAGACAGAGAATAATACTACGATAAGCATTTGAATATTTATAATGTGCCAGATGTTTATGCCATAAATATGTATTACTCGGGTCTTCCTCATTTAGTCTTAGTAAAGAGATTCTATTTTAGTCTTCATTTTTAGATGAAGTTAAATTTAGAGAGAGTTGGAGGACTCAGGCAAGTCCTAGCTTAGTAGTAACTTTAGAGACTGAATCAGCAGCTGGTAAGTATATCAGGCTCTGCTAGGAGCCTCCCATTTGAGTTCCAGGATGTCCTGTAATAGCTGGGATTCCTGGTTTATGTTCATGAAGCAGGCAGCAAAGAGGGGGAATGAGTGGGTTTACATATTCCCAAAGGAATCAGATGCCATGAGGATTTCCAGACAATGTAGCTACCTAGGAGTTTGTATAGTCAGAGGCTTCTGGAATGCTTTTCAAGTTGTTTTTAATTTATTTGGAAACAAGAAAAAAGAAGACTAACAGACATAAGTTATATGCTAGTTCACTCCTGGATGATCCTGACAGCTGGGACCCAAGCTGAAGCCAGGAAACCAGAGCTCCATCTGGGTCTTTGACATAGGTGGCAGGAAATCAATTACTTGGTCCATCACCTGCAGCCTTCAAGGATATGCATTAGCAGGACATTGAAACCAGGAGTAACCAAGCACTCCAATTTGGGAACTCCCACTGGCATGCTAATCAAATGCTGCCTCTTGGCTTCATCTATTCGGACTCTATGTGCATGAAAATCATTACTATACACTGTCTCTGTTTATATTCATTTGCATACACTATATATGTATTCTACATAGGTACATATGTATGTATTGTGTGAAAATGCATGTTTCTACATGTATATCATATAACATATTAACATGAAAAGCATATCCATGTTTGACAGGCTATGGTAAAACCTCAGTTCTCTCTTGATTTAGGTGCTTTGCAAACAGCCCAAATGTGTTCTGACTTAGAGCATATTTGGATGGCAGATTAATGCTCAGACATAGATGCCCAGATCACTCAGTAAACACATCATGTCACCTGCTATGTGCTAGGTGTATCAGAGATATGCTACTAGAGGGTCAGAAGATGCCATGTGAGAAAGCAAAGGAAAGAACAAGTATGAGGGGAGGTGGAGCCACAGAAGCTTTAGTGAGCACTGGGAAACTTAAGCTAGATCTTGAAGGAGCAGTAAGATGTGGAATACAAAGATCTAGCAATCAATTCCTTATGAGAAAGAAGTTATTTTCCTCACTCGATTTGTTTAAGTTGCTATAAGATCATGGTCACATTAATTCCCCCTGACATACAACTTAGCCTAGGTTCTTTTGCATTAGTTTTTTAGGGGAAAAATGTTTTTTTCTGTTGACAATATTGTAATATTTCTTTGTTAAGTTTAAATTATATAATGATTCACTCACAACATCCATAAATACATACTCTGAGTATAACAAGAGAGACAAGAATCCAAAAGTATGGTGAACTCCATCCCTTGGCATTTGTTTATTCTTATGTATTTAAATTTTTTATTTATTGGAGAAGAATCTTAAACACCATGCTACAATGCTGTGTAAAACAACGGAATCACTGGGGCTGACCCTGAAAACAGGTCCAGCCGTTACACATGATGGAGGAGGCTGCTTTTGTCTCAAAGGCTCCAGCTGTTGTATCTGGGATCCTTACCCCGCACCTGTGAGGCACCTGCCTCCACACACACTGCCTCACCTCATTCTGGTTTCTGGGACCCAGAGTCCTCTCAGGTTCTCATCGAAGAAATCAGTCCTCAGCCAATTACATCTCAGGATGAGCTTATGGGATACCTGCCTTCCGAACAGATTTGTTTTAAGAGAAAACAAGTAAGCAAATGGATTTTTTAAAAAGATTTATTTTTATTATTATTTTTTTATTGGAAAGTCGGATGTACAGAGAAGAGACACAGAGAGGAAGATCTTCCGTCCGATGATTCACTCCCCAAGTGAGCGCAACGGCCGATGCTATGCCAATCCGAAGCCAGGAGCCTCTTTCGGGTCTCCCATGCGGGTGCAGGGTCCCAAAGCTTTGGGCCGTCCTCGACTGCTTTCCCGGGCCACAGGCAGGGAACTGGAAGGGAAGCGGGGCTGCCGGGATTAGAACCGGCGCCCATATGGGATCCCGGGCGTGCAAGGCGAGGACCTTAACCACTGCGCCACTGCACCGGGCCCGCAAATGGATTTTTAAAATGAAGGTTTTGTTCCTTATAACAGAAGTTTCAGAGTAAGATAGAGGAAATGCCGTTTTGAATGAAGATCATACACAGCAGTGGAGTTCTTCCCATCTTCTTATATCTGGACATCCTCCTCCTTCCTTAGGTAACAGCCTCATTTCCACAGCAGAATATCAAGCTAGATGAAACTGGTTATACAGATGCAGTCTGTTTTTCTCTTTAGTTATATCATAAAGGATGAATCCAACTTGTTGGTGTGGTTCTTGAAGGAAGAGTAGGAGTTTGCCAATGGGGAATGTGACTCAGTGGACCAAATCACATGCCATAAGCACAGGGGCACACACATGGCTCATCTGGCTCACACCAGTCATAGAGACATGTCCTTGTACATGCAGTTTTAAAATTTATTGATCAGGATGGCCATCTAAACATCCAGATCAAACTGCTACAGTAATGACGAAGTATAAAGATTACTGGAGCTAAAATTAAACTCACTGTAGTCCTGCCACTTCTGACATATGCAATTTCTGGCAGAATCTCTTTCCACATCTATCAAACTGGCATATTCAGCTATCAGTGCTAGGGCATCAGGGGTTAGGCGAGGTCATGTGGTGAGTGTGATGAAGCTACAGCCATGCTAGTTCATGTGTCCATTCTGCGAGTAAGTTAGCGATGTTGAAAAGTTCCTCTTTCCTCAAGGGAAGAGTGCATCAGTGTGAAGACATCAACTGATGAAGTAACTTTCCATGGAGCTTCCTCTAATGCTCAGTGCTCAGTCTGAGTGGGTGTGTGTGTGTTAAGCTCTTTGCAAAGAGTATAAATCCCACAAAATATCCCATGATAAACACTATGCTAAGCTTGTAATCCTTAATAGCAAGTGAGCCAAATGTTGAGTATTAATTTGGTACACCCTGTAAAACTCCATTTTAGAAGTTCAATATCTGTTACCTCCCTCCAGCTTCTTAACAACCAAATAGGAGTCATTATCTCCACTTCAGAGGTGAGGAAACTGAGATTCAGAGATGACTCACTTTTCCATTGACCCTTCCTAGGAATTGTAGGGTGCTCATGGGAGGAATGCATCCTGCAATGAATGCAATGATTGCAGTCTTCATTGCATTGCTTTCCGACAAAAACTGGATGGAACTATTGCTCCTAAGAAGGAGATTCCAGAGACACTTCTCATCTTGTTTCTGCTAGGGGAGAGTGCATTAAAGACTTGGCAGTTTGCAGTCTGGAAGGGGCCTTCACCAGAACCTGACTATGTTCACATCTTCATTGCAGAACTTCAGCCTGCAAAAGTAAGAGAGAAATGCGTCTCCAGTTAAAATGCTGATTTTAAATTATTTGGGAAGAAAGAAGAAGAAGAGGGAGAAAGAGAGAGAGAGACAGAGAGAAAATGAAATGTAACATCTCCCAGTCTCCCATCTGCCACTTCGCTCCCCAGATGCCAGGGCTGACCAGGCTAAAGGCAGGTGCTGGAAACCCAACCCAAGCCCTGCACGTGAGTAACAGGGGCCACGTGGCTCCCAGGGTGTACATTAACAGTAAGCGCGGATTGGGAGTGGAGTAAGGACTTGAACTCAGAAACTTTGATAAATCTCTTGTTTAGAAGCCACAGACTCTATCCTTTTGCTACAGAAGTTAGAATTACCCATGACTCTGCTCCAGTTGTTGAGTCAGAATGGGATGGGCAGCTCAGGCACACACAATATTAGAGCATCACAGTTGACTCTGAGAATGAGTTGAGAGGATATTAGAAAATAGAGAACAAACAATGATAGGAATGAAATAGCCATACTTCAAGGCTTATAACAAACCAATGAATTCTACGGGAGAGAGCAGCAAAGCTTTCTTAGGGGAGGCAGCCTTTGAGACGAACACCCAGGCCATAGAATGCCCTTGCCCCCATGAGGAGCACTGACCTTAAGTGATAATGGTAAGGCCCTCTTCACAGGAGTGCTGTGAAGATTGTTAAAATTAATATGTTTGTGCAAGAAAAATGCTTAGCCTGGCGCATAGTGCAGAACAGCACATAAGGATTAGGGTTCTGTTACAACCGGATATAGCATAACTCACAGGAACCCATGACCCCCAAAGAGGTGATACATGAACTATGAAGAATATATAAACTATGAAGTGCTATTCAAATTATTTTCCTTTAAAGATCATTTTTAAAATTAGTCTAGTAATACAGAAATAAATGCTCATTTGGAAGAAAAAAATTAAAACGATCATAAGCAGGAAAAATGTGAAGCTTTCTAAACTCACACACC